GGAGAAATTTGTGTAACTATTTCTGATCGAATTTGTGCCGCAGGTGGTATATTTCCTATCACAGTGTGGTACAATTTCGAGCACGCACATTTTCTGATTTTTTAAAGCATTTTTCTTTAAAGCGTCAGCACGAATTTCATGTTACGAAGTTTTGCATAATTGACAACTAATCAACTTACCTTTCTGCAGTTACTTCTCAGAATAATAAATCAGAAGACGAAATTGCAAATATTTTCCTTTCCTTGGAGGCATTAAAGATGTCTCTTTTAATGAAGGACATCTTTCCAGAGTTAGGCGTTGGTTCGACGCACATTGAATAGACCCTGTGCTTTGTTGCTTGTTTGTAGTGTTCTGCTTTTTCTAAACTGAAGTCGGTTTATTTTTATCGACTTTTGCGTTAATTGTGTATTTCTTCCTCTTGTTTTTTAAACATGAGAGTCTTGACTGGCGTTTGGAATCAGTTCTGTCTCCATAGCAACATCGCGTTTGATGCTTGGTGCAACGATCTGCGTTTCCGTCCTGCTTGGTTTCTCGAGTTGAAGCAGTAGGCCATTGGGCGATTTGTACGGGAGCACGTGAAACCTCATACAGCTGATTCCTCAGTATTGTTTTATTATGTGCTTCTGCGAATAAGTGTAATGTAAATTTGAAGCATTGCATACATTCCGTGGCATTTTGTAATATTGTGCCTTGCTGGACTTTAAAAAAATGTGCTGTCCAATGGCTGCAATACATACATGTCTGCTTTGAGGAGGTAGCCCTGTTGGCTGTGAGTCGCGTTGAACAGATGCTTGCTTTGAGGAGGTAGTTCTATTAGCTGTGTTGTGGTTTGTGCGGAACCACCAGTGTGGTTTCCATTTTTATCTTAAATTAGCAAAACTTGGCCTTCAGACTTCGATTTCGTAAAGTTTTTTAACCAATCCAGAAACAGAAAAGGGAAATAAAATTATTTCCTTAATAATAATTGTTGTTTAACAAATTAAGGTAATTTGTAATAAATTATTTAGTTAAGATGGGTGTTGATATACTTATGTAAAAATATATTCGAAGCTACTTACTTGTGATTTATGAGAAATAAGTACATTTTATGTGGAGATGATACTTTTGATTTAAATTGTGACTACTGTTGTTTTAACTTGGTTCGGAAAGTCGATGGACAAAAATGAGCCAACCTGTATCCACCAGCAGATAGTCTACATGACCACTTATAACCCCACATGGTCGTTGAAAATGTCATTTTATTAAAAGAAAACTGTTGTAAAATTTAAATATCATCGATGCTCGCAATTCTGACAGGTTTCTTGGTAATAATGCTTAGAATTTTATGATGACATGTACCTATATCAAAATTGCACCACGTGGCCTTGTATGCTTCTTTGTGATTGTATCTGAATTTTTCAAATGTAGTGCTGAAGATATCAGTTGTCATCTTAAGTGCGTAGATGGTGAAGGCAAGCATAGTTTTGAGTTTTATTTCCTACTATGCACGTACTTTCCATCTACGAAGCTTGCTTGATTTCAGCCTCGCATTGTTAGGCTGTGGTACGAATACATATGTTCATTTATAAATTGTATTAGGAAGTGATTTCCCATGCCGTTAAGCCAAGGTTATCGCCGTTCCTTAAATGGTTTTCAGTGCTGGTGAAAGAAGGTCACTCACTCACTGTTCATGATAGACGCACACTTTTAGGTCATTGTTCCGACCTGGATCCACTGCGACTCTTATTTCCTCTTAATTTTGTAATGGCGGCGACTTTCACCCAATACATTAAATTAATCTTCGATCTGTACCATGTGTAAGGCTTCTTCGAGTACGGGTTAATGTATCGGAGGGTCTCACCTCGGTGAAGACGTCGATGTTGGTCTTCTGGGTTGCAACGCCGTGTGAACTTGAAAGTAGAAACCAAAGTTTCAGAGATATCCCTGAAGATGGAGGCAGTATTTTTCTTTGAAACGAAGGTTTCTACCTACAAGCCCGAAAGCGTTGCAACTCAGAAGACCAACATCTATATCAAATGTCATGTTGATTAAAATCTGTGTGATCCATTTCGTATTTAGAATGATGTGAAATGGGCAGATGCAGATGTTTTATCATAATTGTTTTTCTACTTCGCTTTAGAATGTCTGTCGGTAGTAAGGTTCAAGAAAGTGAGAAGGGGTTGCATCCGAACGGAACATACCAGATTCTCGTCAGTGCTGATGGTCTTGATTTCGAAGACGAAAACATTTACACCATAAACACAGAAAGGAGGCTGTTCCTGAAATATGTCAGAGAGAACTAAATTGGCCTATGTGTTTAGATCTTAATGCAGGACAGTTCATCCTTTTAGGATAGCCAACAGATTCGGTGAAAATGTGAGAACGTTCGAATATTTGGACTCTAAATAAAGTTACTTTCGCGAAGAATTTTAAACGCTTGAATTTGAAAAACGTTTAATACAATCGATTTGAGACTGTTTTGTCATCCCGTCGCCTGAGTTAAAAAAAATCAGTGTCAAAATATGCAAAACTATGATTTGGCCAGTTGCCAAAATGATAGTAAAACTTGGTCTGTCGCCCCAAGGGAGCGAGGAACACAAGTTGATGGTACCATGTGGGTGTAAGCTATGTTATCGACGTTTCGAATATCCGTACCGTCTCCATCTTCAAGGTGACTTCACCGTATTTACAAAAGCCCGCCATTGGACCGTGTTAGGAGGCAGTCCGGTCGAATACCCACCCTCGCGCTTTTTTCTCAAGCTCCGTCGTAATATTGTCGCAACCTAACACTAGGTCTTCCAAATGCTTTCTTTCATGTTTTTCCTCCAGTTTTTAATGTATTTATTATATTCCCTCGCGTGTTACATTTCCCATCTTTCTTCTCGTTATTGATTAAAACGCCCTGACAAATGTTAAGTGAAGAGCAGAAATGATGAAGTTTATTTCTTTGTTTCTTTCATTCCGTCTTTCCGAAGTCCAGATATTCTGTCTTTGGGGCCTTATTCTGAAGCAGCCTGTGTTCTCTTCCTGTCAATGTTTTGTACCTGCACAAAACAAGTGAAATTGCTATATTTTGTTTTAATATTTGGGATTTAGACTGGAATCAGGAAGATAAAAGGTTCTGAATCGTATAACTTCGATATGTCAGTGTTCCTATTGTCAGAGTCTCTTCTGTTAATGCTGGTGAAGATGGCAGGAAGACGCTAATATTCTACTCTTTGTAACGCATTCACGAGGGCTGCGTATCGTGTTCCTTCCTGGCGTGTTGCCTGCCACCTGGGTAGTTCGATCGACAGAATTCCAAATTAAATTCCCTTCGCTCCAAGGTCGTACCGGTGACGACTGTTACTTGTGTGATGTTATCAGCTGTTCAAGTACAACGAGAATTTATATTTCGTATAATCAGAATCTTTTGTACTACAGTTATTACTGACACCATAAAGGCGAGTGTGAAGCACAGGGGTATACCCGACACACTCAGACGTTTTAAATATTCCTTTTTCTCTGCCTTTACTCCCTTGCCTTCCCTTTCATCATGTTTCCGTACTTCGTTTTCTTTCTTTTTCATTTGTTTCCCTTCTCTCTTCTTGGTCCTTCATTTGTCTTTTCTTTCTTCCTTCCTTTTGTACAGAAAAAACGAGCTACTTAATTAGTTATGTATTTATACCTAAAGACGGTTTGATGTTCGTGATGTTAATAACAATATTAAAAAGGCTAGCCTTGAAAATGAGGACAGAGATGGTCCTCGAAATGTCGGCAGAGTTTAACCAAGTCACGCGGCTGCAGGCCTGAGAAGATTTTTATTAAAGGTGTCTGTACGTTTAGCCTGTCGTATCACTAGGTGTTGTTTAACCTCAACAGTAGGTACGTTACGTGCAGTAACCTAACTTTGCCAACTACAGCGGGTATAATTTAATGAAGAGAGTGGCATATTTTGCTTCTTTGACCGTAAGGTGGGTTTTCAAACGCAAGCCAAATGTTCGCCTGTAAGTTATGTTTTATGCTAGTCAGTAAGGACAGATCGACTGACCGACCGCTTCAAGTCACGGGAGGAGTAAGATTCTGTGTTAGACTTTGTTGCAAATGCGAATAATTACAAACTTTCACCCAACCACTTCGTGTTGTGGTTGCCATGGGCAGTTCTCAGTGTCTGCTATGAAGTCGTTAAATTTTCCGTTCTTTATCTGTTCTGTTTCCGCTCTTTATCTGTGCCGTTCAATGGGTTAGCACAGCAGTGCTGCATCTTCACTTGCAGTCTGAAGTGACTGATGATTTTCCGTTATTTAATGATGCTGCTTCAGATGTCATGCTATCGTAATAGTGGCTGCTTGTGAGGTAAGGATTTGTCGCCTGTTTGCAGCTACTATCGAAACATTTGTATTTAGAGACTGAGGTGAGCAGTGAAGACATTCGGGTTGTATCCTCTGCGGTGACCAAGACCCGAAATGGCTTCTCCCTCCCGAATACTTACATAGCGATACTGCTACACCACCGTCCTTGGTGTATTCTGTAGCTACCCGAATGGAATTCCGTCCTGGAACGGCTGTTTCGACAGGATTTTCGTTGTTTTCCTCAGTCTATACACCCAAATACGGAGAGCTTGCCTGCAGTAGACCATGACCGCTTCCTCCCACTTCCCAGTAACATTGCCGTTTCTTCGTCGCTGCTTGGTCTTAGTAAGTAATAGGCCCACAACCTGATTTGTATTCCTAAGGTCATGAAGGCAGGCAATTCTGATAGGATTTTCCTCTTGAGTTCTATTTTAATATTATCTAGTCTGCATTTAGCTGTGTGAAATACTGTCTTCCCGTGAGATTTTTGGACTGAAATGTTGCATGCATTTCTCACCACCCCCGTACGTATTCTGCTCAGGATTTTATCAGACACACTCAATCTTTTCTTCTTCCCTTAAAAGTGATAATGCAAGTTGACCCAGGAATGTCGCAGTGTAAACCAAGGAAAATAAGCCAGTAGTGTAATCGTCAAACGAATAACCATCTTTCCTGTTTTGTTTTTTCCAGATGTACGGTGGTGCTCTTGAACCCAAAGAAAAACCGTCAGAGCCATCTCCTCAACATTTCGCGGAAAACCATCACGTGCCTCGCGTTCTCTGCAGATGGACGTTATTTGGTAACGGGAGAATGTGGTCACTTGCCCTCAGTGAGGGTGTGGGATCTCCAGGAAAGCGGAGGTACCCAGATTGCGGAGTTTGCGGGCCACAAATACGGGATCAATTGCGTTGTGAGTAAAGTTGATCCCTGCTTGTAAATAAATTGCGATTTCAAGAAATTTAAGCGTTTAGAACACGCGTCATTGCGTTCCCTGCGAATGTCGACAAACTACGAAATCAGCAATTAGAGCTGGATTTTCTCTTCGTGACTATATACGGGCCGTCGAAGGGAGCTATGCTCTTGAGAATTCGGGGTTCTTTGCTCAGATACAGACTGGCCGCTGTCCTCCGTCTTCTGCCCATGTTAAGAGTTATTATAGCTTGATATCGCTGCCCTCCATACGCCATCGTGTCATATTCTTTGAAAATGAAAACTACCTAGACTTTTAAGCTTCTCACGGTTGTGAATATGAAGGTGACTGACTTCTCGATTGTTACGCTCTTATCGTCTTGATCATGGTGGCGCTAAGTACCCCTGAAACGTCGATAAACTTCGATCAGACTACATGGCGTAACATACAGCAAGACATTCATCTTAATGCTTGGCTTTGTCAAGATTTTTGGAGCCGTTTTGAGTAAGTATTCATTTTGCATGTCGAAATTTGGTACGCCTGTTGTGTTCAGGTACTAGAGGACGTCATAGACGGGCGGTATTCCAAACCCTGTAACATCTGTCTTGAGGTATCCAAAGCGTGATCATATTTTAAAATTTCGCTTATAGGGTCGCAATATGGCCAGCTTCACGTACAAGAAAATAAAACGATTATGGAAACATTCAGTTGAACCACAGCTCATCTGATTTTACGATCACTACGCTTCGTCATATTTAGAACTCGAATCTAGTATTTATATTTTGTCTTCGAATTCTCCCCTTTTCCGCCCGTTTGTTCCGGCTGTTTGTGCATCACATATCAACGCAGTGAGCTACTTTACTATTCCAGTCCAGTGTCTCTCGCCCTAGATGTCAAAGAATTTTTATGCAAAGTCTGAATTTCAGCCAGTTTTCTTTCGTATGGGATGCTGTGTCCGCCCCTCTTTCTGCTTCCATTATCTACATATTTCGTCTCTGATCTTCTAAACGGACGGAAATGATATTTGACATTGGCTCCTACACTGAATTTAATTTTCGTTCTTGTAGTCATATTTATTATATCAAACTCTTTCTTCCTAATTAAGATCTACTGTGTTTATTCGAAACATTCTTTTGACGGTTCGAATGTTTAAAAAGATAAAAGCAAAAATAATTTCTGTGTTGGTTGTGATTTTTGTAGGCCTAGTGGCATTAGCTTTGCTGCAGCAGTTGAACACTAAGACCGACGAGGTGTGTAAAATAACAAAGAAAGTATTTTCACGCTTTAAGACTACTGGTCTGGTATAAATTTACCGACGTTTCAGAGGTGCTTACTGCCTCCGTCATCAGGGCAATGAGTAAGCCGCGCACGAGGAACCTGGTTGAGTTATGGGAACCAGTCAAGGCAGAACCTTGGTCGGACCAGTGGAGGTAGGAAGGACCTCTGAAACGTCGGTAAACTTCTACCAGACTACACGGCGCTACATCTCGGAAGACAGCCGTGTTCGTACTCGCTGCCGTGAGAACTTCAAATCCTACGATTTTCACACTTTCTTGTCGTTATGCCTGACATCGTGTTTCATATCTGGCATGGCGCGAAATATCGATTTGCTGCGTCCCTCTTGGTGAGTAAATTTCCCACAGAATGAGGTACTGCTTCTCATTGTGGGTGTATTAAGTAAAGTGTGCGGGGAGGGGGTTGTAAACTTTCACTCATTGAAAGCGGATTTATTGAAATTTTAATTCAGTGGTGCGCAATAAATGTAAAGTGTACGGAGAAGTCATCGCCAGAACAGCACGATTTGTTGGGATTGGAAGTATTGAGTTAGTACACACACTCGAGAACCGTGCTCTTACGTATTTATGTACGTGACGTAATGGTCAGACTCAGTTCTCCTTCATTACCTGCAGACAACCTTTGCCTGGCCTTACGCAGTTGGTACGGAGAAGACGAATTGTGCGTGCGGATGCTTGATCGTAACTTAAAAAATTAAATTTACTGACTAGGCCTCGGTCAAATGTGTAGAGATCTAGGAGACTCGAAACCTTCGGAAATGAAGAAAATCGAGCGAGAGTGAAAAGGTGTGCTCCAAATTGGATTTTTGTTGCCTCGTTAGAGTTGTACAAAATTCATTGCTGATAAAAAACTCGTTTTCGAATGAGACGGCAACTGTGGAAAATGTTTACCTCCTGGGCAGTTCGGGGATTATATTTGTTTCTGTAATTTATAGAACGAAAAGATCTTTGTATTTACATTTAATTAAAGCTATACCGATTTGTTTTTAAAAATCACAGTTTGTGCACGTACAAATCCCAGTATAATGATGGGTAATTGCATTCTCTGTCCTGCGTCTGCGGTACGAATGTGGCACTGTTAGCGTTAGAGCGCTGGTGTGTGTTTAGAGCCCTGCTCGGTACTGTGACACTGGAATTGTTTCCAGTGCCGTAAACATTTCTCTGTTGTGGTACGGCAAAACATAAATTTCAAATCCTTTGCTTATGATGTCGAGCAGGTAATGTGTTTGACTTGTATTTGGGAGGCGCCCGGTTCATATCTCCATGTCTTACGTAATGGAAATTTTCGTGGTCGTAACTCATTCTAAGCTAAATCTATGTAGTTGATACAGCAGCGTTGAATATTGTGTAGACGAGCCAACCTGCCAAATGGCACGACCTTGTATGAGGATACAGCATGTCATGTCTTCATATAATTGATCAGAAGTTCTAAAAAGTGGCATCTTACACACCTGTAAGCCATAAGGCTGCGCTGCTGAGAAGGCTAAGAAGTGCTTGATGGTTGCTGAAACTGCGACACTGGTTACATAATCAAACATAACGTGAGCCCTTGACATACAAGACGTTAGGTCGGCTTTAATATAAATTATAGTTGTCAGTAGTCCTCATTCCGTTCGGCCTACGTAAAATTTTATGGTGAAACTGTTGTTATGTTGCAAGTCAGCCACCTGATGGTCGAAACAGAAGCTACAAGATTACGTCTTTCAAATAGTGCGTATATTTTGTGCAGGCGCGGTCAAGTGATTATTGCTAGTACTTCATTTTCGAACTTTTTTTGTTCTCTCGCTACGCTGTCCCGCGCCGTAGTAGGTGTATTGTAATTGCCCACACCTGCTCCAAGACACTGTCTTTGCGGGCAAATATTTGAAAGCCAATCTTTATTTTACAACCGTCCCCAAGGAATACAGCAGAAACACGATTATAATTTAACATTTGAAAGAATTAGAAGTTAAAAACTTGCCACCTGCTGCAGTGAATGAGAGTTTGGACAAAGGATATAGGCTCTAAACTGTTCCACAGTGTGAGTATTGCCATCATGTTCCACCCATGCTAAACTATTTGAGTGCATGGCATAATAAAGATATATGCGGGCGAAAAGACAACCTACAACAGAAGAGAATAGGTGAGAGAATGATCGAAGATAACTATTACATAATTCATTAAGCATGGCCGAGTGTTGCATCTCGTCACAAAGACCGTGCAAGTGTTAACCTTGCGACACATCCACCTCCTGTTGTCTTAGACCTTGCACAGTTTCTATGACCAAACTGTACTTGTTTCCAAATAATGTCTTCTCTTTTATCGCCCTGATGATGGAGGCAGTATGACCTCTGAAACGTTGGTAAACATCTACCAGACTACATAGCGCAACAACCCAGAAGACGGAAATCTTCATACTCACCGCTGTGAAAACCTCAAATGTTACATTTTCTCATTTACATTCTCTTCAGCGTGTATTTACCAACGCAGTTACTACAGTATGTGTAAAGAGAGTTGAGACATTCTTACTGCTAACTTTTCTGCGTGTACGGAATTATAAGAAGATTATTGCAGGAAATCCTACGTCCATGATTATGTGAAATCGGTCTGGGGCTGGTGTTACGGCAGACGCTTTTTCCGTTCCCACGGCTGGTCAGTTGGCAAATTCAGTCCTGAATCTCTGTCTGCCGTATTATGAACATTTGCCTTTTGTACCAGGATGAAATATTTATCATTGGATACGTGAATTTGGGGATGATGAGAAGTGCAGATAATGTACAATCATTGAAAGGAGGCTGGTGAGCATCGGTAGGTCGTGGACAGCATTAACATTTATACCGACCACGTGTTCACGTCTCTCGCCCATGGTGCCTCAAAAGTCGTGCAGAATTAGGAGGATAGTATGTCATGCCCCGAAGCTCCAGAAAGGTGCCAGGATTTCTGATACTGAGCGCGGTAACGGTCATCATCATAATCTTCGTCTTGTTATGAACTTGCCATCTTACATGGTACCTGTCCATAAGCCAGAGTCGAAGGTTGTGAATTATGCTTCGGTAAAATTAATGTGAAATTAATGAAGTGCTATTTTAGTATCTTCGGCAAGGTGGCCGACTTGAGGTTCCACACTGGAATATCTACCAAGGCTGTCATATAAATACGTTTGAAATATTGATAATCTTCCCCGGAACGAGGGTCCGGCAATTTCATTGCAAGCCAACCACTTGTATAATGTCCAGTCTCCGCTTCCCGGTTGAATTATGGAACTGCCCATTTAGGTCAATCACACAATGTGGACACACACTTTCTAGTTTAAAAGGCCGTGGTAGATTTCTCTGGCAAATACACTCGCGTTTCCGACACCTGTCTCTCGTCGAATTTAATTTGGAAGTTGCCGCAGTAAGCAGTAATGTTTCGTGGTGTGTTTGGCTCTGGCCTCAAACCCAAAGGTCATGGATACAGAAGCTAGTGTAACACTTGTGATTTCTCCCATGACGTATGAATGTTCTCCGTTTCCCTGACCATATGAGAGATTTATAGCAGTTTTCAGCCTATAACAGGATATTTGCCAACATCCTCGTTCAAAGTAATTAACTCACACGCTGTGGTTCAGGGACTTTTCTTTCTTGTAAAGCTGATAATTGCTCACACTGTCAAGAAATTCCTTGCTTATATGAAACACGAATATTTGTCATCGGTTTACAAAAGCCAGAACAATGACCCCTGTTTACAGGCAGTAGAACTCTCTCTCCACCTTTGCCCCCTATTTATGTAAGATTAATTTTAATTCTCTCCCCTTGTCTCCGTCTAGGCCTCTCACGTGGTCTGTTCCCTTGAGGCTTTTTATTCTGTATCTTGTATTGATTTTTTTAGTACCTTGGTTCTTCGTGGCTTTCTAGCTTCTTACGCTTTAGAACTGTTGGCTCCACTCCTAACCCCCAAGCTGCAGGACTACCCCTTGGTCGATTTATTTAAAAATATTTGAATAATAAAAGTCATTCTAACTCTGTAGAAGCGATTTGTTTCTCCGAGGTGTTGTTACTCGCCTGCAAATCTGCACGTCAGCACAACCCAGAAGGCACCCAACGACAGTTCGTCTGTTGCAAAATGTGTAAAAGTCGCTTAAATTTAAAAATGTTGTGCACTTGGACCCAAACCGCGTCTCAGAGGTATAAACTTTATTGTTTACGTTCTGGAGTAGAGGGACGTGGCGCTGTGGCGCTGAGACATTGACCTTTCATGGTAACAGTATCGTGTTTGTCGGTTTACGAACCTGTGAATTAATTGAAGCGGTGCAGGTCCGTAGACAGTAGGGCCAATCCAGTCTCCATGTCAGTAGCCAGCAGGACATGCTTAAGGCGTGCGAAAGCTTAAGGACTGTTTATGGCAGCACTGGATATCATGACATAAATTCTAGATCGCATGCGTGAAAAAAGTTATTACAGTTAAAAGTTCACTACAATTGTGTCTCTTGATTGATCCGTAGATCACATTTCGATCTCCATTGCCCTTATTGGTGTGGTTCTGTAGGCGTGTTATAAAGCACTGTCTTGCTTCTCCTCCTCATCGTTCTTTGAACTGCAAAGATAGTAATCGTCGATTTAGACGGAAATATTGTGAATAGTGGTGTCAGTAAGGACCTGGAAATTACTGTGATCGTTTTGGTAGTAATTACTAACCCTGAATTTATTTCCGGAGTCTGAAGAAAGAACTGGACATAGAAGATGGCTGTCTTCTGGGTTGTAGCGCAGTGTAGTCTGGTAGAAGTTTTGTCGTCCTGATGATGGAGGCAGCAAGGATCTTTGAAACGTTGGTAAACTTCTACCAGACTACTACACGGCTCTACAGACCAGAAGACAGTCATCTTCGGAATCACAGCCGTATGAGCTCTCGGAAAAACTTGGTCACCAGAGACGTAGACTAGAGGAACACTGATAAGCTTTGTTAGGACAGCCGATAACCCGCCCGCCCACATTTTAACTGTGTGTGTTGAGTCTTGTGACCCGATGTTGTTGTAAAGCAGTCGGTACTCCTGCTTCGTATTCCGGATACCATATTTATTTACTGGTTTTCCGTAGTTTCGCTTAGCATTTTTCGGGCAAAAATTTTGAATAGTTACTTCGTATAGTAAACGATCGCCCTTTTACTTAACCTGTTGTTATTCATTTTTTCCTGTTATTCGAAGCCTTTGTGTTGTTGACATATTCATTATTTTCGAGGTAATGTAACAATTATAAGCACGAAAATGTTTTTTTTATTTCTTCGTTTGGATGTTGTAATTCATACGTAATATGTGGCCAGAGATCATAAACATGCGTATAGATGTTTTATGCAACATGTGTATGAGTGAAAATTAGTCATGGCGACATTATAAAACTTTCCATAGATATGTGGCGATTTTCTGTTCACTGGCATGGAGACCTTACCACTTTTGTTGCAAGTTTAGTTTCTACTCAGGCTACTTTTAATGTACCGCCCTTTTACGCAAAGAATCCAAGGTTTTCCGCAAGTGTGTAGTGTGGGAAAGTAAATATTTGGTTTTCTTTCTTTTAACTTCATCAATTATTCATTTTATTTGCGTGTGTTTGTCATGCAAATTAAAGTATCCATAAGTGACAACAAAGTAATAAATGTAGGAAGCTTAAGGACAGTTATGTGAGCCATGTTTTCAGTCACGTCTCTAAAAGTGTTGTTAAGGTTTTGCTTTGCGTTAAATAGATTCCCCTTTCTTTTGCCTTTACATGAGCCATGTCACATCACGTCAGTTTGAGCCCCATTCCCCCGTGTAGAGTGGTATGGGCGTGGCCCAATGTGGGGCACCTAGCTTGCATCAAGTTAATTACACTGCATTCTGCAGTCATCTTTCATTATAATGTAAAGGGACTGGACTATTGAAATAGCAGTCTTGAAGTTGGGGCTCATTAGCACTTCAGAAATGTGTAGCTGATCATTTTCTAAGACAGGTTTTTGTGTTTGTAATGAAAAGGAAGACAGACAAACACAGAAAATGTTATATTACTTATTGTTGTTGGTGTTTATTTATAACTAATAACATTTGCATTATGTATTTTTCAAATGTGTTGTTGCAAAGCTGTTCACAGTACATAGAAGTCAGAAATTAACTTTCCTTTTATTTTGTTAAATATTCAATGGCAGAAAAAGTTTGAATTGAAAGTCACAGTGACATCCATGTGCATAATGTATGAAGGTATTTTGTGATGAACCATTTTTAGAAAGCTAATCAAATTCAATGTGAGGTGTATATGTGGTATTGGGGTGCATTGGCCTGACACAAACAAGATTTGATCTTGCCTGACAGTTTTTAATGTTAATCCTTCCAATTCAAAATTATGTTCAAATACATTTAGCAGTTTGAGGTCAAACATGTACGCAGAAAATGAACCGAAGTAACCTCTCTTTATCCCTTTCTCCCGCTCTATTATTTATTTATTTATTTCAAGCAAACCGTGTTTTAAGGGAATTTGAATTGCATTTATAATAATTGAATAGACCAGTGGATCTCAACGGGTGTGCGTCAAGAGCTTTTTCCAAGTGCACTGCAAGGCTTTGAATATAAGAATGATTACGTAAAATTTTATATGGAGATAAAAAAATCAAATAATTGTTTTCACATTATCTGTAACTGGGTATGTTTTAGAAATTGGTTAAACTTGTTTATTTTTCTGTTTTTTTTTTTATAATTTTTATACATACAATAAATTACATTACTTAGAAATACTCATATAAAAGGGCCTTTTTGTTAGTTCTCTATTCTGGTTCAAGGAATATTCCAGGTATGCCATGAGCACCGGAGGTTGTGAACCCCTGGAATAGATACTTAGATTCTAATAGGAAACATAATCTCAAAGCTTGTATTTGCATCAGTTTTGTATTTTGTTGTGTAAATGGACATATTCTCTACAGTACCGCCATAAGTACTCTGATGAGCATCAATACATTTTCTAGTAAAGTAAACGTGTGTTTCAGGCTTTCTCCCCAAACCACAAATATGTTGTGTCTGTTGGTTCACAACATGACATGATAGTGAATGTGTGGGACTGGCGTTCGAATGTGAAGGTTGCTTCTAACAAAGTGTCTGCCAAGGTGAAAGCGGTATCATTTGCTGAAAATGGGAACTATTTTGTCACAGTTGGTAATAGACATGTCAAGTTTTGGTACCTGGAATATTCACGGTCTGCTAAGGTAAGTTTCAGTATATAATTCTACAGAATCTCTTAATTTGCCTCAAATAATGCAAGTAGGTACTACATGGTTACAGTCTGTTGTTAAAATTAATACATCAGCATTTAAGCAAGTGAGTATTCTAAGATTATGTAATTCCTGGAATTGTAGATGTCTGTACATTCTATTTTTGCTACATTCAGATGTAGTCGTTTCCTTGCACGCTTCTTTAAAATATGGCACATGCCTTCTGGCCCAGCAAAGATAATTAGGATGTGAAATATAACGGAATATTTTTCTGTGCGAATAACACTGTAGAGCACTTCTTAGGCATAAGATAACATTGCTGAATGACAGCAAATTTAATGATGTTCATACTGACAGCAGTTGGGTTTTGCACTATCAGTACACTTAAATTTTACATTGTCTACTAGACCAAAATATTTTTCAGATAAAAGCTATAGTTGTCAACCTTATCAAATGGGAAAAGGTGATTTAAACCCTAAGTTTCTTCATGTTTTCTTTCTGTGTCCAGGATTTCTTCATTCCATTGTTTTCTATCAATGTATACATTGGTATATTTCATCTGAATTTATTCTCTATATATCAGGGACAGTTTTTTAATATTATTTTCACAGATACTGGTGATATATGGAACATACAATTTTTTTTCTGAGTTTGTATTGTATTGTGTGTAAGGTGGAATGTTTTTGTAGAAGTGGATGTCTAGTTATGTGTGTAGGGTGTTCTATGGAGTGCACTTGTTTATGTGTATTTTGTTGTAATTGTGTAGTGTAAGGACCACTGCCACCGGGTGCAAACCCAGTTGCAGTAAATAAATCATAATAATAATAATAAAAGAATCTTTCTGTACTCAGTAGTGTTCTAAGAAGTATCAGCTGTGCTGTTTCCAGTCTTTTATTGTGTCTTTCCTTCATTACTCAAGACACTTTACTATGTTTGATTTCTTGCATGTAAAAAGCGTGGTGTAAAGAATGCATGCTGATCAGAATGTAACTGGTATTAATCAGTTTATGTTTCAAAATATCCAAAATCATGATTTGAAAATTAATTTTACAGATATAAAACATCCAAGCACAACATTTAAAGGAAGAGACTTAAAAATCAAACAAATCAATATAAGCAAAGCAAGATGTGCAACAGTTTTTAAAACAGTTTTTAAAATTGATAGACCTGATGATGGTGTAATACACATCGAAACATGTCGTCAATATAAAATGTAACAAGATCTAGTATCTAATGAAAAAATGTTATAAATTTTAAGTAATTTTAACAACATTTTTAAGTTTGTGTATAGACGGTAAATAAATTATTGTATTAATAAACACAAACATGACGCAATTAAGATATAAAAAAATATAAAAAAAGATATAAAAAAGTTTCAAATTTAATTTCAGTACAAAGAACCTGTGCCACTAATGGGTCGTTCGGCTATCTTGGGTGAACAGCGAAACAATTATTTCTGTGATGTTGCCTGTGGTAGGGGTGATATGGGTGACTCAACATATGCCATCACGAAGTCAGGATTGTTGTGTGAATTTAACAATAGAAGACTGTTGGATAAATGGGTTGAGTTGAGGGTAAGTATTTTTATGTGATGCTTATCAGACATCCAAGTAACATGTTAGGTATGTAACTCCCAGGTATAAGTGGAAGAGAAGTATTAGCCATTAAGAATGTTATGTTCCTTTATACATTGTGTTCTAGATATATTTATCAGAGAATGAAAAATTTGGAATCAGATTAATGTTTTCTTCCTCTTAATATGAGGTGCAGTAATAAAGGACATATAAATTAATACATTACATCATTTTATGGTGCGGCAACTTTAAATGTTGTAGCAAAGGGTTTAGATTTAAACTAGCGCGTAGATAAAGTAAATTTTGTGAACATATTACATCATACGAGGTGCGATCGGAAAGTTTCAAGACTGTGTCAATCGAGGGCGAACCGGATGTAGTACGAGCGTCTGCCGCTAGGGTGTGCGGCCTACATTCATAGTGAATCAGTGTGCCAGCCGGCATCATCGAATTAGCATTTGTTTCTTAGTTACGGGCGTTTTGGTAGTGCATTACACCGACCCTCCTGCGATTTCGGAATGGCGCGTGTGCATCAAATTTTGCCAAAGACTCGCCAAAACGGCTACGGAAACCTATGAAATCCTAAAGCAAGCA